TGGAAAATCGGGCCAAAACGAATGGCCCGTAATAGATGTCAGGTTTTAATCTAGACGTAGGCTCTTAGGCCCAAGATGAGGGCATTCGAGTGCCGTTGCAATAAAGTCTGAATTTCCTGATAGTTTCTAAAAAATTCAGAAAAATAATAAATAAAACGAAGGTTTGAATGAGAGAGAGAGAGAGAGAGAAGAAAGAATATGATCGATGTATTAATATCAGGAATGGCTTCATTTTGGCTTGTCGTACACACGGAATTAAAATTCAAACTAGATAATTACCTTAGTTTAAGGTATTAAAAATTAAATTGGTCATTGAATCAGTGATTTAAAGGTTATTGATCTAATCAGGGATCAACCTAAAATTAAACTAATCACAGTTAAAATAATATAATTTGATTATACAAAAATATTCATATGAAAGATTGTAATATTTAAATAAATGTCATTAATTTTTGACCAAATGAAAAATTTATCCGTAAAATCTTACGCGTGTTTTATAGAAATAATAATTATAAGTTTTCGACAATAATAAAACACAATAGCATTAAAATTATTAATTAAAAAATTTATATTTGATTTATGATTCAATATTTAGAAGGTGATCAGTTTCCTCAATCAATCAGATTAACTAAAGTCACCAGTTCACCGATTTACAGGTCAACCCAACCAAGTTGGTTTGGGTTTACAAAAACAATGCCCTAGTTAGTCTAGTGATTTAGTTCCCTAATCAATCTAGTCAAGAATTTCAGGCAAGTTGACTGGATTAGATTTTATATATATTTTTTTCCTTACCATTGCTGAACCTGAAATAACATCATTTTGGGGTTAAGAAAAATAAAAATAAAAATATTAATTCATTAGAATTTTGTTTTGCCATCATTTTTTGAGTGGAAATGGGAATTTCATTAAAGAGAAACTGTACAGGCACATACTTGGCAGAGAGCCATTACATTAAAGACTTAAAAGTAAGAAAAGCTTGAAGAGTATGGTCACTTAGTAAAACAATGAGAGAACTATATCTAAATCTCACATATAATTCTCTAAATCTCACATAAAAATATTAATTATTATAAAATTTATTGACAATTGAACTAAAGTGATTAATAACTATCTTATAATAATTAATTTTTTTGTATGAAATTTTATGTAATTCTTCTTAAAAAATTTGGTTCAGATTGAGGTAGCTAGAGAATAGGTCTTGAAGACAAGATTGATGTCCTCTATTGGCTAGTGTAGATAGAGCATTTTTTTTTCCATCATTAATCCATTTGGTCTCATTTGACTATTAAAAAGGAATAAAATGAAATATAATGTATTGAAAAAATCAAGACAAAAATAAATTAAATCATCCTTTCCCTAATGGTAAGCATGATAAAATTCATCAATATATATTACAATTGTGAGAATCATTATACCCTCCAAAAAATTTATGAATCATGATTCTTAACTTCATAAACTAAATTACCTTTTCTCCTTATAAATGTTCTGACCCATCTTCTTTAATCATCATATTTTTACTTTTATTTTTTCAATCCATTTCATTCTATTTCATTTTAATAACCAAAAGGGACCTTAGATTTGTGCTTTAGTATCTTCATCTTGTTATATTAGATCGTGGTCTATACATGAATGTTATATTTACATGTGGATTAGTATTTTTTATTTAAATATGACTATTTTAAGGGTTGTATATGAATTTTTTAATTAAATTATATTATTTTGAGATCTAAGTTGATCTGGTTCAACCATGATTAGATGACTATTAGTTAAAAAAAAATAGAGCCGATAATTCAGGTGGGTCAGATTTAAAATATTCTACCATTTTAAAAAAAGACACATATAATCAAGCCCGCCTCTAATTTGAGTCAAGTTTATTCAAATCGGATTTAAAGTATCATATTTTTTATAAAAAAAGGCTTTATAATCAACTCTAACTTTAACTCTTTTTGAGTAGTTTTGGACTCTTCGTCCGACATGACTTGAATTAAGGATTTAAAAAAAAATTATGATTACAAGGCTAGCTCTTGAATTACTTCCTTTGCTGGTACGATAATCGGTCCAATTTCTTGACCGTACCTCGAGTCTGATGATTTCAATTGGGAATGGAGTTTGAGAGTCGGACGTTTCTTCAATTTTGGCCCGTTGGCAGTCCTTTATGTTATATAATTGATGAATGTATCCATCAGATGTTTCGTGTGACACATTTGTCAACGCATTTGCCGTCATCGTTAATAATAATAATAATAATAATAAAAGAATTTAAAAGCTGGGATCGATTCACAGGGTATAGGTTAACTTAATGGCAGGTGAACTGTTACGTGACACACTTAAATATAGTCATAAAATAAATGCAGTGGTTATGACATTTCTTTTGGACTGTTCATACATATTTATGAAACGAATGGCTCAGTTTGCCAAAACCTTCAACAGAATGTAGATGAAGGAAAACAACTCAGCCTTGTCGATGTAGAACCATCTCAGCAGCTGAGTGCTAACTGCGAAAGTGCGAATGACCTAATCCATCTTGACTCTGGACCCACGAGATCATAGTATATGGTTTCGTGCACGCGCTGTTGTACATCAGAATGCTTGATTATTCGATGCGTTTGTCCTTATAGTCCATGCAAGCATCATCGCCTTGAAATTAAAATTGGACTGAGAAGTAGTGGTTGACTCACCATTGGTGGAGTCTGGGTGACGTTCCTAGAAGAATGAGAAATCAATGGATGGTTAAAGCTTAAAACTCATCTTGTGACGACAAGGTTGAAGTTAAAAGCAAGAGAGCCACTGATTGCGTTTGTTGGATTTATTCGTGTCAAATGGGAAATTAGGAAATTATATCTATCTGGGCACGTTGAGTAGGAGTAATTGACGAGAGACTTGAATGGCCTGTCAAACGCGGAAACCGTGGTGGTCAAGTACTTTCCAACTTAAATCACAGTTGATGCTCATGTACTTGTCAGCTCTCGTGGTTATGATGACCCTCGTCCATTTCTCATTCAAGCACCCAACTTTTGGTTTAGTACACCCAATATAATCCGCCCGGTGGGGCCTTGCTATTAAGCTCCAATTGCGCAAGTCAATTCATTCATTATAATTAAGAGTGTTTATAGGATGAGATGGGATGAGTTGGAATACTTCCATCCTGTATTCCGTCTTAAAAAAAAGATTAAAATTGAATTTTGATCTTGTATTTCATTTCGCCCTGTTCAGAGTCAAAACGAGACTAGGACAAGATCGAGACGTCTTGCCATCCCGATAAATGAAATAATATTGAAAAAAATTTGGATAATAACGCTCATTAAAATTTTAAATCATATAATTTATTAAGTTTAACATCAAAATAACACAAATGCATAAATAACAACAACTTAAAGTTAATTATTGAATTATATTAATCATAACTATACATTATAATATTAAATACAAGTGATCTTTATGCTATAAAAGTAGCAACAATAGGCAAGTCAAGTATAATATCAAATCATTGTTCTTCTACTTTAGTGAAAATGTACTAAGCTAATTATAAAGCAAGAAATACATTGTAAATAAAAGTTATTAAAAAGATAAATATAAGAATAAATTGTATTAATATAATTAATAAATTATAAAGAAAGATATCACCATATTTACTTCATATCATTAAAATTATCAATTAAAAAAACTTTAGTTTTAAATAAGAATTGCAAGTATTGAAATTATAATTGATATAATTAATATAAGTATAAATTATATTAATATAACTAATATATTTAAAATAAAAAATAATATATATAATATTCGAGATGGGCTGGGACGTCCTGATGGTAATCCTGTGCCCCGTCTTATCTCGAACCCCTTTTTTGTCCCATCTTGTAAAGTCTCATCTCAATTATTTTCATGCCGGTACAAGACCCATTTTCATATGATCGGGATAATATCGGGCCAACCGGAATGGGTCCAAGTTAAACACTTCTAATTGTAATAGTGAGGAACTCTTACTCGAAATTATAAAATATATTATTAATAATAAATTCAGGTTTTATAAAAAGTATCAGTTGAAATTTTATTTTTTAAAAAATGTTTATATCTTGGTTGGATGTTAAAAAATATAAGATATTTTTAATTTTTAGAGGTGTAATCATTGCCTTTTTTTTTAAGTGCCAATATTGATAAAAACTTTATATTTATTGTTGGGTGTTTAATAGGGATAAATATAAAAAGATAAGGTTAGTTTAAAAGTAGATAACTATATTATTGTGAGGTAAGATTTAGTTAAAAATATTTTATATTTTTTAACGGGTGGAGTATGCCCATGAATTTTTTTAGTAATACATGTATGATATTTAAATATGGAACATTTACATATAAAAATAAAAAATAAAGGTATAATGTTATAAAAATTATAAAATTTACTCAATACTATATAATTATAAATTAACAAATATTTTTAAAAAGTGATTTACATTGTCCGGAATGCATGTCATCTCAATAATCACAAGAGGACAGTGCTTTTGCACTTCAAATGTACCCCTAATGACGTCATTTCATTTTATAATGTTAAAACAACCTCATGAACTATTTGATTCTGACCCAAATATACCTAAACGGCGAAACCCCTCCATTCACTTTCATCTTGTTTTTTTTTTTTTTTAATACTTTAGTGGGATTCCACCAGAGGAAAGATTATAGTTTCAAGATGGGATTCTGACTCGCTCTAAGACCTAGCATTCCTTTTCAGTTCTCCCCTTCCTTTGTAAAAGTGAAACAAAAGAAAAGAGGATGAAGATGTTGCGCACATACACATATATTAATAAGAAATATTAACAGAAAGGGCAGGCCCATAGATGGCCCACCAAATGATTCGGCCATGATTTGAAGTGGTAGGCTAAAAGGGCAATCCAAGCCCATTTAAACTCACGAGAGCCCACGTAGCTAAGGAAAACGTGTCCTTGTATTTTCTTGGCGTGTGTGACTTGATCGGAGTTCTCCCTCCCTTTAAAAGAGCCGACTCATCTTCTTACATCGAACGCTAGCTTTGCCAATTGCTGATAATGAACCAGTGACGACTCTTTCTTTGTTCCTTCTGCTTCCTCCTCTTCTTCTGCTCTGCTTTCAGCCGGCCTAAACCCATCATTCACTCCTACCTCCCTTACCAATCTATCATCTCTCTTTTTACTCTCTTTCAATACTTCGATCGGATCAAATTTTGGACTTCGGCTGTCAAAGTTAACCGGAAGGAAGTTTATTAATTCGATTCATTTGCCTTACGATGAATTTCGATCTTTTCGGTAATTGACAAGGTGGTCGATCCGATTTTGATTTGGACTGTTGGTTTTGATCTGTAATTTGATCTGGCGGAGTTCAATCGCGGATTGGATTTGAGAATACTGTTTCTCGGTTCCGTTTGAGATGGTCTATTTCCATAGCTCAATCTCACTCTGCAAGCCCGTTGACCAAGCCCCTGTCATGGCGAATTCTGGGTGTTCTTCCGAAATCGGTCCTAATTTGAGGCAAATTACTAATAACGCACAGCGGAATAAAAGGATGCCCGCTTGCCCCAATTCCCCGCAAGTTCTGACATGCGATCGATCTCGGTGGGCTGCGGTGGAAGTAGCGTTATTCATTGCTGCGATTTGCGCGTTCGGTTTCTTGTCATTTCCGTTCGTTTACTATGTTATAACTGGGTCTATTAAGATTTCTTGCGCAATTCTTTATGCGGTGAAAGAAGAGGTTTCTCTTGCGCCACCGATCTATATGTACGCAGGACTTGGCATTTCTCTTTCTGCATTTGCTGTCTGGGGAGTTTTGACTTGTGCGAGTAGGAAATGTGGGAATCCCGATTGCAAGGGCTTGAGAAAGGCTGCTGAGTTTGACATTCAGTTGGAAACAGAGGATTGTGTGAAGAATTCACCTAACGAAGGAATCAAAAAGGGCCTCTTTGAACTGCCTCGTGATCATCATCGAGAACTGGAATTGGAACTCAAGAAGATAGCACCCCCTAATGGAAGAGCTGTTCTTGTTCTTCGAGCAAGATGTGGATGTTCTGTTGGTAGACTAGAAGTTCCAGGTCCAAAGAAGCCCCGTAAGATCAAGAGGTAGGGAATTGATGCATGAGAGCGTTTAGGAATATTTTATAGAGCGTAGCTTCTCGGGCCAATCTGACAGGAACTAGATTATCTTTAAATAAGCCTGTTTGGGAATAAAGTTGTAAGGTTCTGTGGATCATATGCAGTTAATTATACCTGAGAATATATAAGAAACCTTTATTCCGTTCCCTCCATTTGGATATACAAATCCCAGTTCTTTCACCTCACTGTTTCGGGTGTCTTATTATTTATTGTCACATTTCTCTCGTCATCGTGATAATCTTGTTAAAGTTGGCTATTGCCTATATTCTCGCGTGTAGCAGTTAGGAGTGAGGTAAGAAGTTGTTCTCTGATAACAAGAGCAAGTAGTTGTTCTGCCTCTGCTTTTATGAAGTTTAATATTTTATTTGCTTACTCGATTTCACAGTTAACACCTCTTGATTATCAGTATAAGCGTTAGTGTTAACCTTCATTAGCTACTTACATTATTCGAACCCCATGAACACAAATGCTCAATTACAGAGTGTAAACTCTTGTCCCATTTGAATCATTTGGGGTGAAAATTGTAGTCTCTGGTATGATCAGATCGATTGGGAGAAAACTTCGAGCCTTAAGAATAAGCTTTCTACTGGTATCTTTCTACACAATGCGTTGTTTCTGTTGCTTTAATTTGTTCCTATTATACAGCTCCCTATCTGCTTGTGTGTTCTGTAAGTATTTGTGAAGTTGTTTTCTTTTCCTTTATTTCTTCTCTTGAAAGTCAGGTTCTGTTTGTTACACATCTCTGCATGCATAGTGATCCTTTTAGGGTATGCCAATGAGTCAAAATGTAACCTTCATGTAAGCTTCCAGCACTGTCATTGAGTCATGTAATCAAGGGGGAAAAAAAGAGTTGGGTCGCGCATACTCTCCTGAGGATCATTATAATCCAAAGTATGTCGATACATCTACTCCCTGAGGCCTACTGGAGGTTCGCTAATAACTCTGCACCTAATACAAGCATGCAAAGCTGATGAAGCCAACCAATTAGCACTCACGTTCCTCTCTCTAAAAACATGTTTTACCACAACATGCCAGTCCTCATTGATAAACTTGACAGCTAGAAGCATGGACATTGTTGTACTTCCTTTCTGTCAATCACCGCCTGGAATTCATTAACCACTGTGATTGAATCACACGCCACGATCAGCTTAGTGTAGTTGAGAGCTCGTGCCATTTGTACCCTATGGTAGAAGCCCCCGAATTCAGCTTCTTTAACTGAACACGTACCCAGGCCACAAACAAATCCACCCATCCACCTTCCATTAGAATTACGGAAGAGCCCACCACAGCTAGCATCTCCTGGATTTCCTCGTGCTACCCCATCAATGTTTAATTTAGTCCAGCCCTGCGGTGGTGGTTTCCAGCCAGCTCGAGTTACTCTCGGTTCTATCGACTAGTTTGCCTCGGACCATAAACTAGATTGCACCCCTATGACATAGTTGCATATACGTCTCTTAAGTCCCCCCAAAGAGATGTAATCACTATTGAAAATTCGTTCATTTGTGGCTTTCCATAGATGCCATATCGTGATTGGAAAAAGAATGTTCCAGTTAATACCCCCGTGACTTCCTCTATTCTGAAGGTTCCAATAAAACCACTCCCTCTTATCAAGAGAATAGAACTGACCTTACTTTTCAGCATCTAAGAATGCGTCCCAAGCCCCTTTGGCCATTGTGTAGTCTCTCGCTACATGCATGACGTCCTCAATGCTGTCATGAAAAATATCACAACAGTTAGGAGCTCCAAAAATCTTGTTCCTCCTTTGTGGCGTCATTTTTCTCTCAAGCATAGCTAGCCAAAAGAAAATTTGGACTCTGCGAGATCTTTTCCACTGCCAAATCAAATTCCATACTAGGTCAGAAGCACCATTGGGGCCTTCACTCAAAGCAGCATACATAGATGAGACCGAGAAACTATTACTACTTTCAAGAGCCCGTCCAACTTTGTCACCTCCATCATTCGGTTGAGACGGGTGATGACCCACGAGCACCCTAATGTCATTATCATCGAGATAATTGGAGAGCATAGTTAGATTCCACTCTCCCTTCTCGTTCACAGCTTCAGAAACTTTTATATCCATCATATCTCGTGGAAGTTGCTGTTTACGTAACCATTTTTCTTTCCAGAGAAGGACTTCTCATCCATCCTGTATATCCCATTGTAGAAACTCCACAACTCTAGGCCACAGTTCAACTGTGTTCCTCCAAAATGTAGAGTCATTTGCTTTAGCAATTGCCCCCTTAGAAAAGTCAGCCTTTCTCATGTATTTACCTCTCAAGATGGAAGGACAAAGGGTGTTTGATTTTGAGATAACATTCCAGATAGATTTTCATCACAAAGCTGCATTCATAATTCTCATACTTCGTAATCCATACCCCCCATGCTCTTTAGGTTTGCAAAGGGTCTTCCTACTAAGAGCATGAACTTTCCTCTGATCTTGGCTTGTATTCCACACAAAGTTCCATTGCACTTAATCGATTTCTTTACAAATTGCAGCGAGCACCTTACTATGCATCCTGTGATAATTAGAGATCTGAGTTGTTATAGATTGAATAAGAGTCAATCTTCTAGCTAGAGAAAGAGTTTGTGCCTTCAATATGCTAAGCTTCCGATGAACCTTCTCTATTAGGAAATTGAAACTCTGGTGTTGTTACGTCCACTTGTGTATCTCGACCCCAGGTACTTATCAAGGGCTTCGCTTTTTGTAAATCCACTTTGTTTAATAATATGCTACTGCACAATAAGAGACACATGCTTAGAGGAAAAAAAAAGAAAAATACTAGTTTTATTAATATTTATCTTTTGTCCAAATATATTGGTAAAAATCTCCAGGGACTTTTCCGCAGTTTCCAATTGCTCCATGTAGGTTCATAGAAAAGTAGTAAATCATCGGAAAACAAAAGATGAAAAATAATATGTGAGAGTTTATCAATATAAAGAACGAAAAAATAGGATGAAAGAGAGTCTCCTTATTTAAAGTTTCTGGAATGAATGAACTTTTCAAATTTAGAACTATTCTAAAGAATAGAGGTAGTCATATATTAGATCACTACATCTATGAAATGTTGGGGAAGATTGATTTCTTCAAGATCTTGTCCAAAAAACTCCAATTAATCTTGTTATAGGCTTTTTCAAAGTCAATTTTGATGATCATAACCCCTTACTATTCATTTTTTTCACCAGGTGTTCAATTTCACGAGCAATGCTGATATTTTCCTAAATATTTCTTTCAAAACTAAAACTAGATTGGAACAGGAGTACAATATGATTCGTAAGGGGCTTGAGCTTGTTGATAATAATTATGCTCATCCCTTTATAAATCACATTACATGAAGAAACAAGTCGAATTGTTGAACTTTTTCAAGATGATCAATCTTTGGAATAAATACAAGCAAATTTTTATTAATATCCTTAATTTTGGAAGTTTCACTCCAAATCTTGTTAATAAAATATTAAAATCACACACGTTCCTTCCTATAATCTCGCAATTTCTTTAAAAGAAGATAGCTTAAGCGATCCTCACTTGGACTTTTGAACCAATTCATCGAGAAGAAAGCTCTTTTAATTTCGTCTCCTGACAAGGTCTGTCCACTCTGTTCAACCTGACTTGCCCCCCTCTTTGGTTAGTGTCAATCCAGTCTCTCTCCTTGACGTCCTCATTAAAAAGGGATTTAAAAAATTTAATAAAAAGGATACTGATTTCCTTCTCATTATCCACCCTGTTCCCTTGATCATTTTTTAAAACAGAAATCTTATTATTCCTTCAGAGTCTTGGTATGATAATAATGGGTATTATGATCTCCTTGAGTGATCCAAGTAGATCTCGACTTCTGGTACACTAGCTATATGTTACCTTCACTATATGTAGGATAAGTACTATGGCAAAGATCGCAAAACAATGAAAATGGAGATATCTATCAAGTATAGAGACAGTTAGAGATTATTTAAACATAATACCAACTCAATAGTTATCTTTCTTTGTTTTTTTTTGGGCCAGAACTCAATAGTTATCTGAAAAAGAAATTAGGGGAGTTTATTAATTTTCAATTAATTGTTAACTTCGATTGCATGTTCTCATAGGTCCTTTTTAGCACTGTGTGTATGTCTTTTTTTCTTATTGGCCCGGTTGGCCATATAGATACTGTGGACGTCTAGAGCTCTGGTTGAGATTCAGCTTGACTGACATCTTGTTTATTTGGTTAATTTTTATATCCCCTTTATCTTAAATTATAAAATATTTTTAAACAAAATTATATATAGATTAAATTTATTAAATACACTTTATAACTTTATTTTTTTAAAATAAAAGTATAAACTTTTAAAAGTACCCTCCATTTAATATTTCATTTTGTAAAAAAAAATTAAAGAGAGATAATATATATAAAGGATAATATTAAAAAAATTCATGAAACCTTATTTTTATTAAAATATATTTTATTTTAAGATATTAATTTTTAAAAATATTTTATAATTTAAGATGAAGATAGTATTATACATCGTGTTTTTTTGGCCAAATAAATGTAAGAAAAATCATATCCAGTCTCTTTTCAAGAAAATAAATTACAGATAAAGATTAATGTAAAATGAGTTGTTGTTGAAATGAAAATATGACTTATTTTTTAAAATAAAATTTATTATTAAATTTTATCTGTGATTAATCTTTTTGGGAGAGGATTAGATATAATTATTTTAAAAATATATATCTGTCTTAAATTTTTTCTTGAGCCAAAAGTATCTTTCCGTGCGAAGCGCAAAACGGTCCGTCAAAAAGTAGACTGTCAGATTTGCCGGCCCTGATTTATTAACAATATAATGATGAATAACATGAGTTTAATTTTTATTGTTCTTTTACATGAATTGGAGCGAGCAGGTGCTGTTTTGCACGGAATCTGTAATATACATTGACGGAAATAGTTTTAAGAGATTATATTTATTTTCTCATGTTTAAACTTTTTAAATATCAAATTTAGATTTTATACTTGGTATCTATACCATCTAAATTATTAAAATATAAATTAACAATTTAAATAAATTTATTTATTTATTAATTTTAATTAAAATATAAATTTATAATTATTGATTTAAATTTTAATAGTTCAGGTTACGAAACCCGCTTGCATGAGGTCATCGTTACTCTCCGCCGTTGCGTCATCATCAAGCTCCTCATCCCCATCAGCTAGGGGCATCGGGAATCGGTAAATGGGACACGCGCCGTGAATGCCTAGCCACTTCTCGATGCAGCGAGAGTGAAATCTATGCATGCAAGGCATCTCCCTAGCCTCGTCCCCGACCTCGTAATCTTCCAAGCAAACCGCACACTGTGAATCTTGGTCGGTGATGACGACGGTGGGCATGGCCGCCATGGAATCCTTGGAGGCGGGCAACAACCAGGACTTCGAGGGAGCCTCCTCGAGCAGCGAGTCCAAGTCGAGGGAGCGGTCGATCATGACGGTGGTAGATCCGGTGGCAGGGTTAAAGAGGATGACCCGGAGGGCAAGATCGAGGAGGGTGTCGTCGTAATGGCGGTTGTGATCACTGTGAGCAGCTAACCTGAAAATGAAAGGAAGAAGCAGGGTGAGCCTTCGAATCTGGAGGTCGTCCAATTCGTCAGCGGCCGGGGAGGAGGGTAATTCCGGCGAGTTAGGCCGTGAAGACATTGTGATGGTGAAGGACGAAATGATAAGAAGAGGGAAGGTGATATTATAGAGGGAAGCATCTCCATCATGGGTACAGTGCTAAGTAATGTTTGTTTGGGCATTTCTGGGCAACACTCTATTCTGGTTATGGGGTCCTTATCACAACCCATCTCGCCTGTGTGTGCTTTAAAATTAGAATCCACAGATACTCCCAGCTCATCATTGTGCGCTCAATTGCTTTAAATAAAAATCTCTTTCATTTTCACCCACTTTAACTTTTACTATAAATAGAGAATAGATATTAAATAAGTCTCCTCAATTTTCAATTTTGATCTTTTTATAAAATTTAATATCGTTTCATGTTTACAGCATTTTAACTGGCATTTCTCAGAAAAGAATCATTTTTCAATTTTTGAGATATAATTTTTATTTATTTTTTTATAGTACTTCTAATTTAAATAATGCTAAATTGCTAATATCTCGTCATATATCATATATGCATGTAAAATTTAAATTTTACTTCATCCTTTACATTTGTACCTTTTCTAATTAAATTATGCATAATTAATTTGATTCGTAGTTGGTTGTATTAATTAAATTTAATAAAAATTTTAAATTATAAAAAATATTTAAGATTATATAAAATTATGTAACTAAGTATTTTTCTAGCACATACTCTATTGCAATGCGTTAAAAAGGCAAAAGTTGTTGCCGTAAATACATACTGTAAGTCAAGCTTTTAGTATGTAATGTAACTACAGGAGGGGTCATGCATTTATTTTTTTTTTTTTTAAAAAGCCCTCTGTTTCACTTCCCATCGCTATCTTTTTTGAAAAATATCACTACGAAGTGTGGGTAAGCCTTATAGATACTTGGCAAACTTCTCATCTGAGTCGAAAAATTATGTTAATGTGCTGTCCTATATTGACGTAGAAATTAGGATACGCGCAACGGTCTGAAATAACCGTCCAAAATTTTCAAAATCGAACTGCCCCCTCTATATGATAACTAAGCACAAACCGCCTGAACCCATCCCATATTATTCACTTGTTAGGAACCATATTGGTTATTCTTTTTGTCGTGCAAGATGGATCAGACTGATGAATCAATAGGCAATCAAAGTGTACAATGCAACCCCTCCTCCCCCAGCAAAAGAAGAAGCCAACGGCACTTCCGGGGAGCCTCCTGCAGAAGGTGGCCGGAAGAGACGTGCCGTTGCAAAGGGTGTCCAGAAGACCCTGTCCAAGACCTCCATGCTCGTTAACTTCCTCCCAACCGGTACTCTCCTCACCTTCGAGATGGTGCTTCCCACCATCACCAAATCCGGCCACTGCTCCGACGTCCACTCCTTGATGATCCACGTCCTCCTCGGCCTTTGCGCCCTCTCCTGCTTCTTCTTCCACTTCACCGACAGCTTTCGCGGCCCCGACGGCACCGTTTACTACGGTTTCGTCACGCCCAAGGGCTTGTCCGTCTTCAAATCGGGCCTTAACGTGGAAGTGCCCAAGGACGAGAAATTCAAGGTGGGGTTGACGGACTTTGTGCACGCCATAATGTCAGTGATGGTGTTCGTGGCGATCGCTTTCTCGGATCACAGGGTTACGGATTGTTTGTTTCCAGGGCACGAGAAGGACATGGACCAAGTGATGGAGAGTTTCCCTTTGATGGTGGGAATAGTTTGCAGTGGCTTGTTTCTCGTCTTTCCTAATTCCAGGCATGGCGTAGGTTGTATGTCTCCTTAATATATAGTTTGCTTCTTCGTTGATATTATGCATGTACTCTACATACGCTTTGTCTACTTTCTCGGTTTTTCTAGTTCATGTGTAATCAGAATTTAAATAATGTCACTGCCGCTTCATAGGTCCTTGTTGTAATTCGGCTAGTTTGCAATTTATTATATATTCTACTGTGGGACGTTATAAGCATGGGGCTTGATAGACTTAAAAAGAGAGAAATAGTGATAGAAAAGATGTTCATCAACAACACTATGTTACCATGAAGTTAGGGAGAGATTGAAATGTATTCTTCCATCACTAAATAGTGGCAATGAGATCACGCTGAAGACTTAACAAAGCATAAAGTTTTGATTCAGAACACGCTGATTTCAAACATGAATTATTGTAGAATAAGTAAGGCCCAAAAGCCCTTTTTTCTTTAATTTCTTAAAAATAAACATATGAATTATTTCCATATTCCATTTTATGCAGATTTTGCAAAAGTAATACTCTCTCTATCCCAAATTATAAAATACTTTTAGACAAAATTTTACATACCAATAAACCCCATTAAATATACCAAACAACTTTACTTTTTTCAAGATAAAAATATAAATTTTTAAAAATACTCTTCATTTAATATTCCATTGATAAAAGAATATTGAAGAGAAATGATATATGGGAAGGGTGGTATTGAAAAAGTATAATTAATAAAACCTTATTTTTATCAAAGTGTCTTATATTTTGAGATATTGAATCTTCCATAAAAGTATTTTATAATTTGGAATGGAGGAAGTACTTCTTAATTTTTGCTCTGCTGCTCCTAATTGTCCATTCTAGCACAAAAGAACCATTAAGCATCTGATTCTCAATTGGTGAAATAATTTCACTAGTCAATCCATGAGCATAAATTTTCACAGTAATTAATTGTACGTTTGAATTCATGAATGACCGCACAAGGATTTTGAACAATTCCTTGGTGTAAAGCTAAGTTTCGTCCTTTCCAAATCAGATTAACAATGATAATAATTTTGTCTTAAATCTTAACATTCCTCCTGATTGCTCTCAATTAATTTCAAAATGAAGTTACGAGAACAGAAAAGCTTGCTCTACTATTAGATATTCAGATATGATACCTAGAACACCAAACCAGATAACTCAATTTGGGGCGTATGAATATGTGTCTAACGCTAGGTTCGAATCCAGAAACTCTTTCAAGAAAGGGAAGTGACATTGTTGCTAGGTCTAAATTAACTAGTGTGTGTATAAAGGTTACATAAATTTTGAGGGATAAAAATATATAACATCTATATGATATTATAAAAAGGAATAATGTAACTTTGAGTCTCTCACATTTGTTTTCATTATTAATTTAGTCCCTCAAGTTTAGGATTATATTGATAAAAATTAAACTCATTTGAGAGTTAATTTATATGTTGAGAGTTAATATGTGTCTTAAATCTGAAAAGACTCACATAATAAGAAAAAAAAAAAGATCAAATTGACAAAAATTAAACTTAAGAGACTAAATTGATAGCTTTAACAAATTTAAGAGACTCAAAGTTTTATTATCTCATACAAAAAAGAGGGAGACTAACATGTAGGTTCTTATAATTTCTCTCAATTTTAAAATGGATATATCCTTGTAATTTATTTGTTAAAATTAAGCCCCTATAATTTTGTCCGCTATATTTTCTAATTCATGAATGTTAGAATTCTTGAATTTTTCTTTTTTAAATAAAATTGAGCAATTTTTATTTTTTTAAATAATTAAATAAATCTAGAATTAATTAAATAATTTTTATAACTTAAAATGTATATAATTATAATTTTTATAATTGATATGATTATGTTATGTCTTTTAAATAATTTATATAAATATATATATATATATATATATGTTTCCATAAAAAAATAATAAAAAATGTGAACATTGCTTTAAGTTAAATTTCTCTCTTCATGTTTAACTAAAAAATATTGAATGAAAATTTCTATGAATTATAAAATTGTTTTTGCAAAAAAAAATTATTCATTAATAATTTTAACCTTCAAATATTAACATATTTTAAAAAAGAGAGCAGGATAAATAAATCTCTCTGAAATTAAAAAAAAAGACAATTTGGTCCTACAAAATATGATAATGCATTTTAAGTTTTAAGGGGCCTAATTGTTGTTAAATTTTTTATGAAATGATAAAAATACCCCCTTCATGAGCATACTACAAGTACAGGACAGGCAAAGCTAATTTTAATTTCCATTTTTCTCCTTCATTGCAGAGTAAATAATTTATTAAAGCCCATGATTGGAAAAGCATACTTATCAGCAAGCTTTTAAAAAGAGAACATGTCATTAGACCTGATAAGATAGTGATGTAAGGGTTAATGGTTAATGGTTGAATTTAGATTGAATTGTGATTGAACCAATCATAATTAATTTAATATTTTTTAAATAATATACATATAAAAAATAATAAAATAAACTCATTGCTAATCATATAAACTAATATAAAAATAAATTTATTAATTATTTATAATTTATCTTTTTAATTTTGTTAAAAAAGTGATATTTATTAAATATCAATTTATCATTTCATCTTCCTCATTTTTTATAGTTTAAGTAGCCTACAAATTCTTACAGTAACATTTAATAATTAAGAATATTAATTTGAGACATTTTTTCAGAACCTTTTGGGCTTCTCAAAAAATCTCCCTCCCTGCAACAAATCTCTTCTCGCCTGTTCCTTCCTTCATCATAAAATATTAATATTAATCTTTAATGACATCAATCCCTCGCACGTGGAAGGAGGAAGAATCAACTTGTCACCCTAACACCCATAAGACAAAAACATCACCCCATTTTTACTGTTCGACTTCTTCGCTCCTCCTTAGTCCTTTACGCTTCGCTGCCATGGATATCGATTGCATCCTTGTAGCATCCCATCATTTAGCTTTTATGATAGAACAGGTGGTTTTGTGACTAAGTGACAACACCTAAGGTGATTATTTGCCACAAAACGTGATTTTTTTTAATGTTTTTTACTTTCCTCATCTCCGTATCTTCTCTCGTGTCATTCCATCCATTTTCATGAGAGATCTGATAATTTTGTGCTCCAAAAAACACGTTGAAGGTAGCATTTTCCCGCAAAATGCCTTCTCTTAACCCCCCCCATTTTTTTTTCTAAATCTCTTTCATCCTTCTCATCTTTGCCTTCTGTCTCAGCGTTCCATCTGCTTCTCAATTTTTTTCCAGATCCCATTTTCTTGAATCGGCTGAACCAGTTAACCCGTTGGTTTTTCCGGTTTTCCA